ATCCATGCTTCCAGACCGGCACTGAGGAGCCTTGGAACACATCTGCAAATATGAGAGCACTCCTGTGTGCAGTGCCCTCCTCTGCAGGGTCTGATTGGATGGACAGTGTATATGGAAGAGTGAGAGTGAACCAGGAAGGTAGAGCCTTGAGTATCCAACATAGATCTTATACCTAGCCATTTTCCAATAAATATTTCTTAAGTGAGCAAAGAATTGATGTATTAGTACTAACTGATGTATTACTACTCTAGTTTAACTGTCCTCCACCCCACCCTGAGAGAGAGTGAAGGATATCCCCAAAACTTCATGCTTGCAACAATAAAATTTTCCAATTCAAGTCCCTGACTGTACACCCAGAGCATGGTCTGAAGCTCTAAAAGGCAACGTTGGGATACATAAATGACAATATCAAGCAGAAGCACGTGTAGAAAGTCTTTCTGATTGATTACTCCAAATGGCTAAATAAGCTGAAATTAGGAAGCTCTTAAAATATCCAGCAAATGCTTAGCTTTCTGTATTCACTCCCTTCATCCACACATGCTGACTGATTTCACATGGCCAAAGACTGAGCAACATATTAGCAAAGGAAAAAGGCTAAGATAAGGTCTACATGTTTAAGACATTTGTGGTCAGGAAGATATATTTGTTACTAGATCATGAATGCATGGCTAGTTTCCCTGTAGAAACATTTTCTGGCACTTTGGGACCACAGGGAGGAGCCAAGGGTGTGCCCTGAGAATCGCTTGATGTGGGAGAAACACCCTGTCCATCACCAATGAGGGACTGAGAATGAGGGACTGAGAACGAGGGACTGAGAACGAGGGACTGAGAACGAGGGACTGAGAATGGTGTGCAGAGAGGGGAGAGGAGAATGACTTTGCACTTCCCCTGTAAGGAATGTGACTGTGCTGTTGGGATCTTCAGCAGGGATCACTGAAGAAGAATTCCCCTCCAAAATGACAGATCCCATTGATGGGCTGTGAGGGGGAGCAGAACCTGGAATGACAGTGTGGAGAAAATTCCACAGCCCTGAGAGAAGGTGTGGGACCGGCGGAGAATTAGACTCTGTGCTTCTCTGTCTGTGTGCAAGAATCTGGGGGCTGTCAGAGTGGCGGTGTCTGTGAGGAAGGAGTGACAGCTTCACTGGGGATGAGGCAAGACAGGCTGATGCTAATTCATGCTTCCTGTCTCTGATTCAGATGGGGATGAACTGACAGGAGGCAGCAGTGTTGAGAATACCCGACTGCAGTGTTCTGACAGGGCGGCAGTAGCGGGGAATAGAAGCAGAGGGGAAGAAAGATAGTATGTTTCTGGAAAGTGACAGTTCCTAAAATAAATACCAGTTGAGTGTGATAAACTTAGTGTCCTTGGCAAACTATGCTTATTTAAAAATTAAAAACGAAGTGAATGTTTATCATTGTTCAAATGCTACTAGTTAGGAAGTTTGCATGAGTGCTATGACCAAGACTGTTAAATGATTCTACCAGTGTCACCGGTTGCGGGACAAGTTCCTAAAAGTGATGATGGCAGTCACTGAGAATTGAATACACTCTCTGGATTCATTTTAAATCTACCAATTTGAGAAGAAGCAGTTGACTTTTTATGATAGAGAGAACAAGAAGTTATGCCTGCTTCTTAGTTTCTTTTTTTAAAAGAGATTTATTTATTTTATTGGAAAGGTAGATGTACAGAGAGGAGGAGAGACAGAGAGGAATATCTTCCATCTGACGATTCACTCCCCAAGTGAGTGCAACAGCTAGTGCAGTGCCGATCCGGAGCCAGGAGCTAGGAGCCAGGAACTTCCTTCTGGGTCTCCCACGTGGGTGCAGGGTCCCAAGGCTTTGGGCAGTCCTCGACTGCTTTCTCAGGCTACAAGCAGGGAGTTGGATGGGAAGTGGAGCAGCCGGGATTAGAACCAGCGTCCATATGGGATCCCGGGGCGTTCAAAGCGAGGACCTTAACCATTACGCTATCGCGCCGGGCCCTGCTTCTTAATTTCAATGTGTACCATTGAATGGAGATGTGTAACCAGAATGGAAACCACCCAAAACCATCTCTAATAGCTGTGTTGAAGTATTGCAGCACATTCCCACTAGACTATCTGTAAAGCTGGTGGGTGTGTGTCTATGGGGTACTGGGATACACTGGCATGACAAGCTGTAGGGGAAGGCAGTGACAAGAGAGAGCAAGGAGAAGAGGAACAAATCAAGAGTGGAGGTGAGGGAAAGGAGCAAGACACTTCAAGTCTACTATTTTAAGTACAGTATTGTGAAATTCAGAAATCCTAAGAATGTAAAGGGTCGAGAGATGGGATGAGAAATAGCAACCCTGAGGCAGGTGTTTGGTGCAGTGGTTAAGATGTGCTTGGGACACCCTCATCATGTGTCATATTGGCTGAGTGTAAGTCCTGGCTCCGCTTCTGACTCCAGCTCCCTGCTAATACATACTCTGGCAGTGCCTGGATCCCTGTCATGTACGTGGGAGACTTGGATTGAGTTCTAGGCTCCTGGCTCTAATCTTCTCCAGCCCCAGTAACTCGGGGGTAGGCCCTGGAGGAGACAACTCAGCGGTTTTATAAAGAGTTGGAGATGCATTTACCATAAGACGTTGCAGTCTCCATCTAGGTAATTGTCTCAGAGAAATGAAAAACCACATTCACATAAAATATCTACCTTTTTTTTTTAAAGATTTATTTATTTTTATTGGAAATTCAGGTATACAGAGAGGAGAGACAGAGAGGAAGATCTTCATCTGATGATTCACTCCCCAAGTGATCGCAATGTCCAGTGCTGTGCCGATCCAAAGCTAAGAACCCAGAGCCTCTTCTGGGTTTCCCACGTGGGTGCAGGGTCCCAAGGCTTTGGGCTGTCATTGATTGCTTTCCCAGGCCACAGGCAGGTTGCTGGATGGGAAGTGGAGCTGCTGGGATTAGAACTGCACCCATAAGGGATCCTGGCGAGTGCAAGGCAAGGACTTTAGCTAGTAGGCAACCATACCAGGCCCAAAATCTTTCCTTTTAAACCTGTTATTTCTACTTAATTTTCATTGCTTTTCTAATTTATAGCTTTCTGTCCCTCCCTAGCTTGTCTAAAGTATTCTTTCATCTTTTCTTTTCCTAGCTAGACACCTGTTGGTTCATGTTCTCCCTGCTTTTCTTCTAATTTCCTTCTTGAATTTCTCATGTATCATTTATTTTCATAGAGGTTATTTATTTACAAGGTTTTCTTATAATTTATAGCAAAGTGTTTGCTTAGATTTTTCACTTGTTTGGGCTAACATTTTCCTCGAGTTTTACCCAGTAAAACTTGCTGCTTCGTCTCTTACTCCCTTTAAAGAAGTACCATTTTTGTGTCAAATGCCTTTTTATTGCTTCTCGCTTTCCTTGAGTGGGTCATTTTTAAGGATTCCTTCTGCAGTAAATATTTGCTGGATATTGGTGGCCACTGGGACCTTGTTTGTTGCTTATCTATCCTGCTTCCAATCCCTTACATGCCTTCCTTGGATTCCCTGGAAATTAAATCCTTCACTGCATTGCCCTTCAACTCCAAATACAACCCTCACAGCATTGGATTCTGCAAGCAATCTTTCTTTCCAGCAAGCACAACATAAAACTTCCTCAGTAGAAGCTTCTGGGAGACACTACAGTAGGAGATGGATCTGTGTCTGACTTTTCTTGCATGGTTTCCTGCAGTGTGTATGTGGTGGGGCACATCAGATAGCGCTTGGGTCCAGCCACACCTCCTTCAGTGAATTCCCCCTTTTAGTGACCTTCTGATATGTAAATGAGTAAAAGCTGGCCTCTGTACATTGGCCCAGGTTCTCTGAGGGCCCACTACCTGAGGTTCTCTCAGAAGCTGCAGGTGCAAGACTCAACTGTCTACGCAATTACTTAATTGAGGTCATCACAAGCCTGCCTACATTACATGAAACTGCACCCAACATCTGTACATCCCACCTCTGCCATTAGCACTCTCTCGCCCCAGAGAGCCTGATCTTGTTGGTGAGTGACATCTCACCTAGGCATGTAGACTCCCTCTCAGATTTCTCCCTCTCCTGGGAGTTCCTTTGTCATCTTCTAGATGTGGCCCACCTGTCACTCACACCCCTATGCCTTATCCTCTGGCTGGTGTCCTCACCCAAAAGGCCTGCTTTGCTGCCTGCAAATCTGTCAGAACATTCCTCAATAAAGACAAGCTGTGCTACCACCGCCTCTAGTCACATCTTTTTCCCCCTTTGATCAAACCCTGTACACCTCCCTTTTGCTGCAGCTCTCCCAGTCACAATGTTCTTAGCGTACTGGACACTCACATGGTTTCCCACCTCCTGGACATAGCAGGTCCTCAACACTCAAATTCCCTCCGTGCACTTGTGTGGTGCCATTGGCACACCCACACCCAGGAGGAGTGTTTCCTGGCCCAAGTTCCTTATCCACCTGCTCCCCAGAGTGTGTTCTCTGCTTGTTTAGCAAACAGGTGCCTGCTGGGGCCCAACACAACCTAGCAAACTGCCCTCCCTTGGGCTTCATACACACCTTCTCCAGCGAGTTCCAGATCTCAATGGTGGAGAGTTTGCTTCCTCCTTTAGTACCCTTAGTACCCTTTCTCCTCACCCTGAAGCTTGCTTAGAACCATTTTGAGCCTTGTAGTTGGTTCTGTTACAGCTTGTGATTCTTCATGCTAAACATCCCCTGTTCAAGTCACTGCATGGTTTCTGTCTGCTGAACAACTCCTGTCTGTCTTGGTGTCTCTCCATTGTCCCCAAGGATAATGCATCACCAGATGGGGCTCTTCCCTGACTTCCCCAGGTACAACTCCTTTGAGACACACGGAATGGGAGTGTGATTTGCAGGTGTTTTGTAAGATCTTGCACCACTAGACTCGCTCACTTTCTCTTGACTTGGATTTAGCTGGGCTGATGACAGGAGCAGGGGATGAAGATTTCTCTCCTTTCCTGGGTGACAAGTGGCTTTCATTCTCATTCAGAGCCAGTTAAATGTGGTTACAGACCTGCCTTTCTGAAGTCAACTTGGTTGCCATTTCAAGAACTACTGGAAGTCCAGAATGGTGAGTTTCCATGGCAAGTGAGTATCCAAGCGTCTGGGAGACACCTCTGTGGAGGCTCAATCATACATCAGTGGTGGGTTCTGACGGCTGCACATTGCTTCGCAAGAACCTTGTGAGTGTTTGAGGCATTGTCTTAATTAACCATATATCTTATCCATGTGATTTCTGGGCTGGGACTCTCAATGAATTGGAGTACTAGACTGTATACTTACTATGTTCCAATTGTTTTCAGACTCTCCCTGCTTCCCTCGTCCCCAGTATCTGTTCTTCCCTCACTCTCTCCTCTTTGTCTAATCATAGTCACAGTGGGCTGCTCACTGTGGCCATACATGCAGTACTGGAAATTCACTGCCAATGGCTCTTCCCCGTCTTCTGTATGTGGAGGTAATATCTTGGATTCATTGAGTATTCACATAATCACTGAGCTCCTACAGGCTGCTGTTCTAAAGGCTGGGGATATAGTAGCTGGCAAGACAGCCAAGTTTCCTGTCACCAAGGGGCTTACAACACGCTCCCTCAAATGGATACAATCCATTTTCTTTGGTTGAGGGAATTTCTCTGAACTTATAGCTTGTGGGCTCAGAGATGTGCCTGAGCTTTGGCCCTTAACTCCCACCAACCTGATCTTTAATTCATTCTCTTGGCCACTGCAATATATCCCCTACTCTGAACTTCCCAGGATTTAACTGTGAACCCTATGATCTTATCTGTCCATGGGAAATACAGTAACTGCTGATAGCATCAGCATCTTTATACTCATTCTCTCTAGGTTAGAAATGGCATTAATGAATATCACTGTGGTCATGGGCACTAGAACATACAGCAATGTCAATATGGAGAGGAAGCAAGTGCAGAAGATCATTATTCACCATGATTATAAACCACCCAACATTGACAGTGACCTTGCCCTGCTCCTGCTTGCCACACCGGTGAACTTCACCAAATTCAAGATGCCTATCTGCCTGCAAGAGAAAGAGAGGATCTGGGATCGATGTTGGATGACAGAATGGGTATCGGTTTATGAGTATGGTAGGTGCCTTCCCTGGGACACCTGCAGGAGGCTTCCATTTAGACTGCCCTGGGCTGGACAACTTGATGCTTTGGGTGTGGGAAGACCCGGTTCTGAACTTCAGCTTGACCACTTGTGTTAGCCTGTCAATATTGGACAAGCTTCTCCTTTTACTTCTATTCTGTAGAATAGCAGTCATTTCTCTCTTAAGTCAATTGTGTGCTTAAATTTCATGAAATTAAGTATACAAAAATCCTGGTACAGAGAATTTCAAATATGAGAGTAAAGATAGGTTTTGAGAAATTAAAAGCATCCAATGTAGACTACCTGATGTAGACCACCATCTCAAGATAACAGGGAGCCAAGTTCAGTCACTGATGACTCCATTCCTTTCCCTACAGTATAGCAGTGTAACTATCAGAGAGAACCTCAGGGAGGAAGGCGTGAGATAGGGACAAAGTCAAGGGATATCTAGCATCATGATCATTTCCTTTCCATAAGCTGGTACCTCCAGGTGTGTCTTCTTCCCGGCTTTTCCATTTGACTGACCAAGTTGAGAGGCTGGGTTGTTCTGAACTTCTCTGTAGGGAGAGAGTATGGCTGTGGAGAGATAGTAGTGCCACATACAAAGCTCATTGCAGGGCTGGGACTTTCAGGGATGGCTTCTGGAAGTAGCGAACTTCCCTTAGGCAAACATGTTTAGCAGAAAGATCATACTGCTACTGCAGAAGTGACTGAGTAGGAGGTTAACATTGGGTTACCTGTACATCTCCCTTCTGCCACCATGATTCTGTGATTTGCTGGACATTACCAGCCTTTAAAAATGCCCATTCTGATCATGATTCATGAGTATGAACCAGTAACTGTCCATGACCAATGCAGTGCACACTCTCACACTCATTTCTTCACTTCCCAGGTGACTCCAATGGCTTAAATATGAACCTGAAAAAGCTAAGAGTGATACAGGTTAACCGGAAAGACTGCATCAAGAGGGTAGGACAGCTTTCCACGAGTATGCTTTGTGCCTGGCAGGAACCGAACACAAATGGCAAATGCCAGGTATGGAGCCCCTGCCCAGACACTCCTTCCATATATTCCACTACTTCCTAGGTTCCCAGGAAAGACCCCAGAATGGATGCCCCCTCACTGATCCTACCAGGACCCCCACCTCCTATCACAGCCTCTGTTGGAGGTAATGTTGATTGTCTGTAGATAGTACTTCTTCCTTTTCTCATTTCCAGGGAGACAGTGGAGCACCCATGATCTGTGCTACCCATGGAACTCAGAGGTTCTTCCAAGTGGGTGTTTTCAGCTGGGGCATGAGATCTGGCACCAGAGGAAGACCTGGCCTGTTTGTGTCTGTGGCTCAGTTTATTCCATGGATACAGGAGGAGACACAAAAAGAGGGAAGAGCCTTCACCATCTCAGGAGCCCCAAGAAGCTTGCTGATTCCAATTCTACAGCACCCCTTATTTCTAGGCTTGGGGTCCCAAATGCTACTTGCTGCCATGTTTATTGGAGATAAACCAACTCTCTAAGCTGTGGACTTGCCCTTTCTGTCTTTTTCATCTGTTTTCCCCTCCAACCCTAGGCAAGTATCTATGGAGTATCTACTCTGTGACAGCCTTGGTACTAGGCTCCAGGAGTTAAAGACAGACTTGGTTCTTCCAAGTCTCACAATCTAAGGAAGGAACATCCAACAGTGCTAAAATGGGGTGCAACCAGTTCATAGGAGAACCTGGGGTGGGGGAACAATAACTTCTAATAAAGAGATTAAGGCCAATGATTCAGAAAAGCATGGGAAAACAAGACAAATGACTTCTTGTTTATGAACCTGGATTTCCACACTCCATGAAAAAGATTAAGTCAAACATATTCTTAGTTCTTACATCATCAACATTCTGTAATCCTAGTAATAACTTCTTGTATGTCTCCCACGGAACACAATAACTGTTGAGCAGCTTCAATTCCATTAGATCAAGACTTAGTAGAGACCAAACACCATTAATACTCACAGAGGGTTCCCCACCTGAGGCATAGGTGCTTGTTTCTTGTGAGTTGGGATCAGCATCCTGTGAGTTAGAATTGGGATTGAGGTCCTGTGTCCAGTTTGGAGGTCAAAGCACTGAGATGATGACTTGGGACTTTGAGACCACATTTTGCTTTCCCTCCCTTTAACAAATCCAACTATAAAAAATTTGGATAAATAGAGTGGTTTGAAGGAAGAAATAGCATCTTTTCTTTTAGAAAAGTGGAAGGCTTTTTTTTTTTTTTAAAGATCAGTGCTCTAAAGTACAGTAAGTGATTAACAGTATTGTCTTTTCAGGGTTCTTTGTTAGTTAAATCTACCTCATATAGTTGAGAGGGTCTTACAAGAGAGAAAAACATTCATTTATTCAGATACTTTGTGAACACTGAATATGTGCCAGGTGTTGGAAGGATACAGGAATGCAGATATGGGTGGCTCATGACTTCAAGTGCATTATGTTATGTCCAAATTTGTGTATCATTCACAGAGCTCTCAATTAGTAACTTGTATAGATAATTTCCTTTTATTTATACGTAAAATACTGTTATTTCTATAATACAACATATATACAGATGATACACTCAAAAAGTTTGTGAAATATATGTATTATGAAAAAAACCATGCATGGATCTCAAAACTTTTTAGGCTATTTTTTCCATGAATGTTTTGAAAACATGTGTGTGAAGAGGGAGATTTATTGTTTAGGCATTAGCCCATGTCATTGTTGAGTTTGGGTAATCTAAAATCTGCAGGATGGCCTGGCAAGCTGGACATCCAGGACTTGCAGTCTTGAGTACAAAATCCATGTGGGGGCAAAAATTCCTCCTTAAGATGCTCACCTGATTGGATAAGGTGCATGTGCACATTGAAGGGAATTCACTACAAGTCTGCAGGTATGATCATCACAGGGCAAAACATCTATCCCAGTGATTAAGATGTCTGTGTTCCACGGGCAGGTTCCAGTCCTAGCTCCAGCTCTGATTGCAGCTTCCTGCCGGTGCAGACGCTAGGAGGCAGCAGTGATGGCTCAGGCAGTTGGAGTCCTCCCGTGTTGGAGACCGGCATTGCATGTCTGGATCCTGGCCTCAGACGCCAGGCTATTGCAAGCATTTGGGGGCATGAATCAGAGGATGACAGCCCTCTGTCCTGCTGTCTGCCAAAGAAACTAACACAATTTTAAAAGAAATATCTGTGTGCTTATAAAGGAAAATCCTTCATCCCTGGAGGTCTGCAAAGGCCATGAAGATGGACTTGTGCTGTAATACAGACATTCAGAGTTGGTCCTGATGTGGTGAGAGGAAATTTCTAAGCAGGAAGAGAATGGAACTCTATGCTTGATTATTTTCTTTGGTGGAGAAAGAGATGGTATGAGTCAGGACCTCACAGGCAGCGCTGGGCAGCTGTTTGGCTGGCCAGGGGCTGAGAATGAGCCAGGCTGGGTGATCAGAAGCAAGAAGGTCTAGGGGAAGGCCCATGAACAGGTCTGTAGGAGAGACCTCTGTGCTTCACCTTAGTGCCCACACAGAATGTTCCCTGCAGGGAAAGCTCTGAACAAAAGGGAGGAAGGGTCAGTGACCACAGTGGTAGCTTTTGTAACTCACGCATAGTGAGAAGTAGACCCTACATCAGGGCCTTGTGTGGGCACTCACACATGCACACACATGGAACTAAAGATTTACATACAACGAAGTGTGTTAGTACTAGGTATAGCTCATTACATTTATATTGTGATCAAATGAGGAGATATGAAATGTGAATTATCACTTAGAAAACATGTAGATGCTTAGGGAAACTGAGTCTTACAAAGCAAGATTTTACCAAAGGTCATTAAAGATCTAAGCCTAAAATTCAATGTGTGTGTGAAACATACACACATATATATATACATACACATATACATCATATACATATACTATATGTATACTACATGTATATGTATACTATGCATCCTTCTACTGAGTTAAAAATCCCAGAAAACAAAACAGCAATAGTATGCATCTACCTGGCAGAATGCAATTAAGCTTCATGCAAACAAAACACTCTCCTCTATCCAGTGACGCTCTGAGTAATAGATGAAGGTGAAATGAAGACCTTCCAAGACAGGTCAAAATGGAAAGAATCTCACAAATGCAGTCAGCCTTCCCAGTGATACTTAAAGATGCAGAGAAAGCACCACGAAGTTAGAAAATCTAAAAGAGCAAAGGAGATTTAAAACAAGGGGAATCTTTCTGGGGGGAAAATAGCAAAAGCTGTCATTATTTATTCATAATCTTGAATGCAAATGGATTAAATTCCTTTAATATGTATGCCATCTTCTCCGGGAGTCAGAATTGAACTGATCCCCAGTGAAGTCTATTGGGAGAACTGGAATCATTGCTCTGATGGTGTGAGCAGTGGGGCTGGAAGTCATGGGGGGGGGGGGAGGAACCAATTGCTCTGGAGAAAACACTTAATTCAGATGAGTCACTGAGGAGTCTTCAGGCAGCAGGCAACTACCCTCCCCAGCCAGGAGAGGAGGCTGGCTGGGGTTGAATGCGATTTGAAGTATTAAAGTCCACTGACTGATTTTAATCTCCCTGTCTGTCTCATTGCGGTTCTCTTGCACCTTCCTTCCCAATTAATTGCCTTTCTTAAAAGTAGCTGAAAAGATGGTGAATTTCCATCCTACTGTGATTCTGCCACCTGCAAGAACAACTCGGGGTATGAATTTTGGTATGTCAGGACCTCTTTTTAGGAGCTTGTGAAAGTTACTCTGTTGTGGGTTTTAAGTCCAGGATTTTAAGCTCTGAGATTATTGGGTGTTGTTTTGTTTCGTTTTGTTTTGTTTGAAGGGGTGAGGTTTCAGTCACACTCAGTACTACAGTCTGTACTTACCTCTTCCATCAGAGCGTTCCATGTAAAAGCCACCTGGCTCTTAGAAGGCAACTGGTTCCAGGAAAGACCGGGAATAACCTCAGTGATTGACTTGATGTTATATACCATGGACAGCAAGAATCCCATTTTCCAGTAATAATGAGATATTATTACCTTCAAATTAAATCAGGCCTAATAACAAACATGTTATTTCTTTTTTATAATCTCTTTCATTTTAATTGATACATAATAATTGTATACATTTGTAGGGTACGTGGATGTTTTGGTACATGTCCACATTGTATAATGGTCAAACCAGGGTAATTAGGACATTCATCACCTTAAACATGTACTGTTTCTTTATAATGAAACAATTAAAATCCTGTCTTTCAGTTATTTTGAAGTATATGCTATCATGTACTATAGTAATTCTGCTACGAAATAGAACATCAGAATTTATTTCTCTTGACTAATTGCAACTTTGCATCCATTAACCAACCTCTTTCCCATCACAGATCCTGCACAATTTTTGGTAACCCACCATTGTATTCTCTACTCCTATGAGATCAATTTTTGTTAGACCAAATCTGGAGGCATCACATTATTCAAGTTCAAAATGTACTATAAAGCTATAGTGTGCAAAATGTCAGGGTATTGGCATTAAAAACAAGCATGTGGAGCAGTGGAATAGAATAGAGAGCTTAGAAAAAAGTCAACTCACCCATAATCAACTAATGCTTGACCAAGGAGACAATTATGCACTTGAGAAAATTTCCTCCAACACAAACGATGCTGGGAAAATGGGATATTGACATGAAGAAGAATAAAACCAGACTCTCCTGCCACCTCACAAAAAGCAACTCAAACTGGGTTAATGAATTAAAGGTAAGGCCAGAGTCTATGAGATGACTAGTAGAAAACTAGGAAAGTACTTCATGACTGTGGACTGGGCATGTTTTAGAAAGATCCCACCAAGCACAGGCTACAAAAGCAAAAATAGACAAAAAGTATTATGATATGTCTCAGATGCCTACCTTGGTGGTCGTATTTCCTGGAACCATGTTCAGTGCTAAATGCTGCATCTGCCAAGATGCTGTTGGGAAAACAAAAGTTGCTCAATGCATCCCAGTTTGGAAGGGATTTATAATATGGAAACAGATGTTCAAAAATTTCTGAAAGGGTTTGAGTGTGAAAGTCAGGAAAACGAGCTGCAGGAATCCACTTCAAATGACACGGATTAGGGTCTTTAGCCTGAGTGACGACTACAAGAGACCCAAAGTGAATGGCAGAACCTCTCGATCGCCATCTGCTAAAACATGGGGACCCGCGCAACTGTGCACAGCTGCTATGGGGAGATATTGACTGCCCGCTTTGCTCTGCCACCTCAAACTTGGCTGAGAGTTTATATTGGAAAGCCAGTGGGATTCAGAGAAACATGGCTTCTTAGCTTGCAGCCTCCACAACATCTGGGGGAGTTGATAGGCAGAAGTGATCCTAGATATCAACATACAATATCTGCTCTGTGTACCTACTAAATATGAAGAAACAGAGGACCTGTTCTGTCATGGGTTTGTTATGAGGATGGTGAGATGACACTTGCAAAGCTCCATGTGTGATGAGCTCTGCACCATAAGGCTCAATCGTGGCTAGCTTAGTATCTATAGCAACCTAAGAATCAGAATGGCTGGCAGCTGTTGCTCCTCTGTGCCAGCTGCTGTTGGGCTATCATCTCCCACTTTTTTCCCATTTCTCCCCTGAGGACCCAATCGCTGTGTTCCCCTAGTCCTGGAAGGTTGGCTCCCATGGAAACAAATTGCCTTGTATCCTGAATACCACTTGGCTTGCCCTCAGCAAGCACTGTCAGAAAGCACCAGAGCATGAAATGAGAAGGCTTGTGGGGTTTCTGTCCTGCCTGTAGCCTGTGTGAGGCCATGATGCTACCCCTTTTTTATCCCACTCAGTTTCTTCTTCAGACTTGAAGTTCTCACTGGATTCCAGTGACATGATTTTCCCCTCCTTGCTGCATTAACTTTCTGCTCTGATCAGTCTCTGGGCCCCTTGCTCCTCTCTCTTGAATCCCTTTCCAATGTCCCTCATTATTCCAGTACCTTCATCTGAATGTTTAACATGGAATTCTGTTTCCTCCTGGAACCTTCTCTAATTGCTACACCCCAATCATCTTCTTAACACATGGGCCTGCCCATCTCAGAGACATCAGCCTCCTCAGTTCTGCCTCCCAGACATGAGTGGAAACTCAGAACATCATGTCAGGGTTGGGGAAGGGAGGTGAGGCAATGTGAGCTGCGAGGCAGGACCCGCCAGTGAGAGTTTTATCTCTGCGGGCCCAGGGCTGCTGACACACAGCAATTTCCCAATGAATGCAGAAATTGCACTGTTATCATTCAGAACCCAGGTGTTACAAAAACCCTCCAAGCGTGCCTGTAGAAGAATCGCCATTCTTATCAAAGCAGCACTGTATGAAGAGGCGGTATCCAGGACCCATGCTGGGTACCCCTGCCGCTCACTCTGGAGTTGGACCTATATTACATGGAAGGTAGTGATCCAACTGGCCTGTTACACACATAAATGAGGGCACTTGCTGAAATCCAAAAGGGAAAAGGGATGGGCTAAAATCCACAGGGAGCTGTGGTTATTTCCTAATCTGTCTCCTGCCCCAAATAACTCTGCTCTCCACATGCACTGGTGTTTATGTGCTACTTCCCCCGGGGGGCACTCAAAGTAGGTCACAGGGCATCTGGATGTGGGCCCTTGGGCCATGTTGTCTCCTGACCTGACACTCTAGTCCCTAGCCTAGAATCCAAGCATGGGGTGCACCTGACTTCCTGTTCCCCAGAGCATCCTAGCAGTCCCCACTCCATAGCCATGCAGAGAGGGGTGGAGCCTGTTCCTGAGCTGTCCCTGTTCCTCCTTCACCTGAAGCTCTCTCTCCAGACCTTAAAGGATGCCCTTTCTACCTCAGGCAGCCAGCCATGTTCTACCTTGCCTGCCATGTTGCTGGGGGATTGTCTTCCAATAGATCACTGGGAACCCAACCTGTGCTCCCAACATGCAATGAGGACCACTGTAGGGCGGTGGGTGGGGCACAAATGACAGAATCCAACAGCTTGGTCTACATTTGATTTCTAGTTCCAGTTGGCTGAAGTAGAGCAAGCCTGACGAGAACCAGCCAGCTGGGGAGGGCAGAGCCTGGTCCCTCAGGACCATTGACTGACTATTCTCGGCCTCAGCTGCTCGGGAGGTCCTCTGGCCAGTGCCAAATCCTGAGGTGCTCCTTTCTTTCTCCAGACATCTGACATCCTGGAAGGATAGGCTTGCTATTATGAACACAATCCACTGTGCTGGGCCAGGGGTTGTGCTCTTTTGCCTGCTTCCCAAATCCACCTGCTGGATTCCTAATTCCCTGTGTTGCTGTTTTTGGAGGTGAAGTCAATGAGTATTTTAAACTCACTAGAGTTAAAGGGGGCCCTGATTGACAACAAAATGTCCTTATAAACCAGACATCTGCAAGCAAGGACAGCACCTGTACCCAGAAAACTTGATTTGGGACTTTCAGTCTTCACAATTGTGAGAAAATAAATGTCTGTTGCTTACTTTACCAAGTATATGGTATCTATTGCAGTAGCCTCAGCAAACACTGTTAAAAATAACTCCTCACATGATGTATACTTCATGTTCCATCAAAAGCACTTTTAGGGGCCCTTATTGTGGCAAAACCAGGTTAAACCACAACCTACAGTGTCAGCATCCCTTATGGGCATTGGTTCAAGTCCCAACTACTCCATTTCTGACCCAGCTCTCTGCTAATGTGCCAGAGAAGGCAATGGAAGATGGTCTAAGGCCTTGAGATGAGGATCGTGTCTTCTGGCTTTGGCCTGGCCATTGTCGCTATCTGGGGAGAGAATCAATGGATGGGATCTTTTCTGTGTGGGTCTTTTCCCTCACCCTTCCATGTGACTCTTTCAAATAAATAAAAATAAATCTTTACAATTTTCTTTCAGTAAATGGAGCAATTCTTCTGTGGTTCCCATCAATGACAAATGCAAAGGCAGTTTAAAAAGTTTGCTCAGCAGATTTAACCATTGTAAAGTGTATGGTTCTTTGAATTCTGGTGGAATCATGGCTATATAACCACTACCACCATGAAGACATGGTACATTCTCACCAGCCCCAAACTGCCTCCCTTATAATTCCTGCCCTTCTCCATGCCACAGTTACAGCAGCAACTGAGGGATTCTCTGGGCCTGTGGCTTGGTCTTTCCTAGAATGCATATAAATATAATCATGTGGTATGTGATTGCTTGCACCCAACCTCTCCCACTTAGCATCATGCATCTGCAATCCAGTTGCTACCATAAGTTGTTCCTTTTTCTTGCTGAAGAGTATTGCTGCAGCATGGTTGCACCACAGTTTATCTGCCCACCTGATGATGGGCACTGAGGCTGTTGCCAGTGTCAGTAAGAATGAGTAAAGCCATGATCAACATCGGGTACTGGCTTTGGTGTGGACATATGCTATTTTGATAAAACTATGAATTCATTTACTGGTGTGCTGGAGGAGTTTTGAAACATCTGGTGAAGAAGAGAAGGCATTGGTGCATTCACCTTTCTTTCTCCAGAGCCCATCGTGGCAGCTCTGTGGATCAGTGGGGTGGAATGTGAGTTACACTCAGTCTCGGAGGTTTTTTTCTCTTTCAAGATTTATTTATTTTTATTGGAAAGTCAGATTTACAGAGAGGAGAGACACAGAGACCTTCCATTTGCTGGTTCAGTCCCCAAGTGACTGCAACAACAAGAACTGAGCCAATCCAAAGCCAGGATCCATGAGCTTTTTCTGGGTCTCCTAAATGGGTGCAGGGTCCCAAGGCTTTGGGTCATCCACTACTGTTTTCCAAAGCCAGAAGCATGGAGTTAGAAAGGAAGTGGAGCAGCCAGGATACAAATTGGTGCCCATATGGGATACCCATGTATGCAACGCAAGGATGTTAGTCACCAGGCTACTGCGCTGGGCAGTTTTTAATCTATCCTCACACACACACGTATCCTCTGGTGTCCAAAAGCTTGTAAATCTTTATAGCCACAATGATGTATTTTGCTCTACTGAGCTCAAATTTTTGATGATTTTAAAGAAACAAGGCAAGAAGACTCTTTCACTTCAGGCCTCACCCAGCAGAGAAAAGATAATTGGTTGACTTCTAATGCTTTGCTGAGAGCTGTGACAGGTGAATGCTCGTTATGACAAAATTCCACACCCAATAATATGGACCCATGGCCTAATGTTTCATCTGCCTTGACGTTATTCTGATGAAATATTTCTCAGTGTTGTGACGATAAATTTTGGAACCACACAACAGATGAGGGAAAGAAAAATTCCCATAGTAATTTTTCTTGAAACGGAAATCAATTGTGTGCACAAGTCTGGAAAATGTTTACAACCACAATTCCTTGCTGATCATCAGGAATAATGGCTGTTGTGCATACACCTGTCATATCTGTGATGATTTATTATGAAGATTGCTCAGGGGCCCATGGTAGGAAAGATTACATCCTTGTATTTGTGCTTTATTCAGTAAACAGACCTTATGCTGACCATTCAACCTTGTCCATCAGCTCTCAACAGTTCAGCTGAAGCCGTGCAAACCTGACAATATTCTATTATTTTTGAGCTACTAAAATAATAATCTCTGTTTTAACTCAGAGTCTCCCACCTGGCTCCATACCTCTCTATGTGTTTCCTACTGATCTGGATAATGTCTGGCTTTGCAAGTGCTGGTGGAAATGAAGTTCCATAAGCAGCATGACTAAGAACAATGAAAACTCACCGTCTGGTGTTTATGTGGCCCAGGCCCACTCCCGCTGAAGGTGCTAGGGAGGGCTGAGTTCCAAGTCTGTCCCCTGGCTGTTGCTAGTTACTTAGCTTGTCGCAGCCCAACTCCAGCCTCTACTTGGGGGTTCTCCCTGTCAGTCAAAGGGCCCCACCTCACTCTAACATGACCCGATCGCCACTAATTTGTTATCTTCAATGACCCTATTTCCAAATAAAGTCATAGTCTTAGGTCTGGAAGTTAGAATTTTAACAGAAATTTGAGGGAGGCACAACCCACAGCAAACACCTTCCCACTCTTCCCCAAGGCCATGCCCTACCAACTTAGCCCTGGCAGAACTTACTCTCTAAGGAGAGCTGCCCTGGAGGACCCTTGCTCCCAACCATCACCCACTACCCACCAACTCCCTTCTCAGCTCCCAATGATGTGCTTACCCCATGTAGTAAGATATTCTGGTTACTTACGTATTTCTCTCAGATGTACGATAAGCTTCAAGGGGACAGAGACTACCTGAGGTTCAGCACTGCCACATTCTCCAAGCTAGGCATATATGAAGATCTCCATGAAAGTTGGGTGACCTTGTGAATGAAGAAAGGAATGTATGATTGAAAGCCGCCCTGCAGTGGGTCCAGCACACACCTGTGTTTCATGCATATCTTTGTGATAGAAACTGACTGGGGCCAACACTGTGGCTCAATAAGCTGATTTTCCACCTTCAAGTACCAGCATCCCACATGGGTGTTGGTTCGAGTCTTGGCTACTCCACTTCTTATCCAGCTCCCTGCTATGGCCTGGGAGAACAACAGAGGATGGTCCAAGTCCTCGGGACCCTGACCCTTCATGGGAGACACAGAAGAAGCACCTGGCTTTGGATGGACTGAGCTCCAGACGCTGTGGCTATCTGGGGAGTAAACCAGCAAATGGAAGATCTTTCTGTAAATATTTCTTTTAAGGAAAAAAAATTCTTAAAAAATGAAAAGAAACTGCTGATCAAGATGCCTTCCTTTGCAGAATACACTAGTAGAGATGAAATTACAAAATTGACATCATAGGCTTTGGTGCAATAGAGGTGCCTGCAAGTACTGACTCTGCTCTCAATTCAAACTTCCTGCTAATGTGCACACCCTGGGGGCAGAAATAATGGCCCAAGTGGTTGGATCCCAATGCACACACCACCAGCAGGTGATGGCTCAGGGAACTGGACTCTGCCACCTATGTAGGAGGTATAAATGGAGATCTAGGCTCCTAGCTTCAGCCTGGTTCAACCTCAATTTTTTTTTTAAAGATTTATTTTTATTATTTTTTCATTGGAAAGGCAGATATACAGAGAGGAGAGACAGAGAGGAAGATCTTCCATCCGATGATTCACTCCCCAAGTGAGCGCAACGGGCCGATACTATGCCGATCCGAAGCCAGGAGCCTCTTCTGGGTCTCCCACGCGGGTGCAGGTTCCCAAAGCTTTGGGCCGTCCTCGACTGCTTTCCCAGGCCACAGGCAGGGAGCTGGAAGGGAAGCGGGGCTGCCGGGATTAGAACCGGCGCCCATATGGGATCCCGGGCGTGCAAGGCGAGGACCTTTAACCACTTGTGCCACCGCGCCGGGCCCCAACCTCAATTGTTATAGACATTTAGGAAACAACCAGCAGATGGGAGATTGTGTGTGTGTGTGTGTGTGTGTGTGTTTCAAATAAAATTTTTAAAAATTGAAAAGTGAACTGAAATTGTGGGTTTGATATTTGCCAAATTCTGAGCTAGTGTGTATGCATTTACTTACTAATCCTCCCATCAATATTACTCCCATTTTCAGATGAGTCATCTGAGGCTCCATGGGTCTCCTATTAAGCATGACTGGCAAGGGAAGTTTTCTCAAAGAGGGGTTCATATTGTGCTCTCTCTACCGTATCATCTGACCTATTTCAGGTAGCTGTGTTAGCTTTTTGCTCCTTCACTAAGATTGCCTGTGGGGTGAGCCTTCCGCTGATTTGCCATGATACACTCAGCGATCTGAACCCCTTGTAGGAGAACTGGCTGAGAAATTTATCCATGTTTCACCCCTGAACCCCGGTTAAGTCTTTATTGCATCCCAGAGGACTCAAGAGGCCATCTGGCTGCTTTGTCTGGACCAGGCCAGCTCTATTCAGGGCTCTATTGTGACGTCAGTGGCCATGCTGGACTGTGTGCTAGCTAAGACCATGTAACAAGTCCTGCCCTTCATCCTTATGCCTTGCCAGGAGCCACCCCACTGCTGATGTAAAGACCAGTCCAATGAAAAGATGGAGAGATAAAACAGCCACACTCGTGCTGGTGGTGGCCCTGCAGCTATTTCAGGTCCATGATTCCTTGGAATGTAGGTGTCTCTGAGATCCTTGCAGATGCGTCCTGCCAGGGGCCTTAATCCTCAGTGGGCAGGAGTATCAACAGGGATGTTCGTGTCAAAGATCATTTCCAGGGATGCTGATTCAGTGGCTTTGGGCAGGATCCAGGGCACTATATGCCTGAGAAACCACTCAGATGGGCCCTAAGCAGAATCCAAGGCATCCCTGTGATGGTAAAGTTACCTGTGGAGGAGCTTGGGTGTGTGTATTTGTGTCTGTGTGTGTGTGTGTGTGTGTGTGTGTGTGTGTGTGTGTGTAAGTGTGTAAGTGTGTGTGTGTGTGTGTGAGAGAGAGAGAGAGAGAGAGAGAAAGAGAGAGAGAGGGAGAGAGAGAGAGAATTCATCCTCTGGGCTGGGTAACAGAGATTTTTAGAGTGAATGGCCAAAGTCAGTATACTCTCGGAGTGAGCTCACAGGCTGCCAAGACAGAAATGCCCACTGGATGCCCATCAGTCATACTGGGCAGTGAGGTTGGTTTTTCTGAGTATCGTCTACTTACTCTTTGCATCTTCAAGTGAGATGAAATCTCTATAGGCCAGTAGTGATAATAGGAAATGCAGGAGGAGGTGGGGTGGGAGCTGGAGGTGATCCATTTCCCTTTGCCTATGGACTGTCTGGTGTGCATGAGATGTCTTCTTGGAAAAGTCGGAGAATATGTGTCCAAATCTAAAAAGGATTTCATAATTGTATTTTCCAATACCACCCTGAAGTCCTGTTTCTCAAATGTCAGTGAGGCTTCATTTCAAATAGATGAATGGTCTCTCCTTGTTTTCCTGGCTTTGGTGCAAACAGTCAGATCTGAGCCCAGGAGGTGGTGAGTCCCTCCCACAGGGAGAACATTTCCAAGATGCCACCAGGGCTGCTTCACTCATAATCCTCATAACTGGGATGGCCTCTGTAGACACACAGGTGGTATCCTATTTGTTAACCTGGCTAAGCCATTGCTGGCTGTGAGCTCAGGAAGAAGAGAAATTTCTTCCAAGCCAACCAATCTTGATTATTGGGCTCTCTTTCTTCCCTCTCCCTCTTTCCTTCCTTCCCTCCTTCCCTCTCTTGCTCCTTCCTTCCCTCCTTCCTTTCTTTATCCCTCCCTTCCTCCTTTCCTTCCTCCCTTCCTCTCTCCATTTCTTCCTTCCTTCCCTCCTTTCCTCCCTTCCTTCCTTCCCTCCTTTCTCCCTCCCTTTCTCCATTTTTTCCTTCCTTCCTTTCTTTATCCCTCCCTTCCTCCTTTCCTTCCTTCCTTCCTTTCTCCCTTCCTTCCTTCCTTCCTTCCTTCCTTCCTTCCTTCTTCCTTCCTTTCTTTTTCCTTCCTTCCTCCCTTCCTTCCTTCCTTTCTTCGTAGCAACATGTGGCTACAGAATAAGTGCCAAATTCGAGAAGCCAATTATATCTGGAATCATAGGTGGGGAACCTGCAAGCATTACAGAGTTCCCGTGGCACGTGGCCATCCTTAGTGAAGGGCAGTATCTCTGTGGAGGCACCATTCTCAGTGAGTGGTGGATTCTGACTGCATCCCATTGCTTCATCAAAGCAAGCAGGTAAGTGTTTCAAACAAAAATTTTTTACCAGTGTGTAGTAATATTTGCCCTATGTGTTTCTTTTCCTGAACTGCACAGCTACAAAATCAAAGTTGACCTAAATATTGAGCTATGTGGCTGAATAGTACATTTTGCAGGTAGAAGATATACTACTCTCCTCCTAAGATTTGTAAAAAAAAAACCATTGTTGTGTATATCCTACCTTACAGAAGAAATGTTGCTTGGACTTTGCATCTTGCTAAGTTCACGTGATACTGGCTCAAACATTTGAAAAATACTTTTCCTAAGTATTGGTTCTCACTTAGAGAGCTAGTGGGCTTACTTTGACCATGAAGTCAGAGAATTTTTACAGGAATTGGGGCCCACAGGCAGACATCCAGCCTGACAGAACTCCTACTTTGTGGCCCAAGACCTGAAAATCACACTTCTTAAGAAGCTGTCCAGTGGTTTGCCCCGTAGTTACCCAAGTCCTTGTAAATCAAAGTCAAGTCTCCTTGGCTACTTACACATGTATCATGACTTCCAAACATTGCTTGATGAAACATACAAGTTAGTTCATGCAAGCGGGGCTAATTGGGTCAGGAGATGGTTAACAACAAGGCAGGAGTGAAACTCACGTAGTGGACTCAGATAGGGCTCTTTTCTTGGCTCTACAAATAAGGCAGGTACATGACCCCAGATGCCTCCATACCCCTGCTTCTAAGAACTACAGCCTCAGTCTGATAGAATCATTTTCTCTCTGGCATTGCCTTTTGCCTGTCTACAACCTTTTTATCTCTTTTGTTTTGAATTAGCTCCAACCTCTCAATTGTACACGGCACGGATGACTTCAGTATCCCGAATTTGATGGAGGTGAAAGTGGACAAGCTAATTATCCATTCTGATTTTGACAGCTGGATCTTGGATAATGACATAGCTTTGCTCTTGCTGCAATCCCCATTAAGCCTCGATGTCAACAATGTACCCATCTGCCTTTCAAAGGTCACTGATGTACAGAGGTGGAATGGCTGCTTGGTGACCGGCTGGGGTACCCACGGCAGTGAGTTGCCACCAATAAGAGTGGGGTGGTACCTGGCTGATGTATGGAACAAGAATCAAACCCTGGGGAATCCTGCTGGTCCTGGGGAATCCTACTGGTCAGATCTGAGAACTTCACATTCTCTCTTCAGGGGTCATGAAGAGTCATGTCTTTAGTCCAGTTGACAGCCAGGTTTTAAGGGTCCTCTTGGGCTTCCACAGTGAGTTGCATACCCAGATGGTAGGCCATGGACCTTAAAGTGGGTCTCAGAATAATCCAGGCAGAAGTTAGGAATTGCCTTCAAAAACTGTCCCTGAGCTTTAAAATAATAATAATCTGTCTTTTAACTTAGAGTTCCTCAAACTTTACTCAACACAAATTCATGAAACCACCTCTCTGTTCCAAGAAAGTGTTCTAGACCTTGGGGATCCAGCAGGACACAGACAGAAACATACTCATCTTGGAGGATGAATATGCTAGGTATTGGATTCACATTCTCAAAAGGCAGTGACCGTCATAATTGCCCTGCGATGAGTCAAGCTTCTGTTTGTCTGTCATGGACCCCAGAACATAACTGGCAATGGATTTTCCCTTACATTCTCATGGGACTGCACAACACGTCTTTTCAGAACCCTAACTGGGACCTGACACACTTGTGCAGGTGGTGGGATAGTGGATTGTGGTTGACAATGAACAAAGATCCAGGACTAGTAAGCTCTGGGTTCAGAGACGGTGAGCTCAAGACATCGTTTTCCACACTTCCCTCAGTCCTGGCACCCACATGGTGAGTGCTTGACATCAACCCAAAGGGACCACTTTGAGCTCATGACCTTTCAATTGCTTCTCCTTAGGCTTAGAGACTCCAGGCACTCCAAATTCCAAGCTGCATAAAGTGGACCTCAACCTAATCCGCTGGGACAGGTGCTTCCGTGATTTGCCCTTGGTCACCAAGAACATGTTGTGTGCTGGCAATTCTCAAGGTGGAAAGGATTCCTGCAAGGTAATGGACTCCATATGCTTGCAGAGGGCCAGCTGACACCTCCAGGATAAATCACTTCCCTCTGCCTCTTTAGGATAAGATGCTGTACTGGTTTCTTTGGTCTACCCTAAGAACTGACTACAGACTTGAGTGATTTCAAACAACAGAAAAGATTTTCTCACAGTTTTGGAGATATCATCAGGGCCATACTCCCTTGGAATGTTCTGGGGGAGGACCCTTCCTTGCTTCTCACAGCTTTGGAATGCAGGTGGCTGGCAGCCCCAGAGACTTTCTGGCTTGCAGCCACCTCATTCCAATCTCTGCTTCAGTAGTCACATGGCCTTCTCCCATATGTGTGTGCCCTACCCCATTTTCTTACTGAGACACCAGTCTTGGAGTTAGAGCTCATTCTTATCCATCAGAATCTCATCTTAATTTAAGTAATTACATCTGAAAGAAAAACAACAACTCTATTTTCAAATTAGATCACAGTCTGAGGTTCCAAGTAGATATGAATTTGGGGAGGACTCTTTCTGGCCTAGTAAGATCTTATGAGGATGGATGCTCTGAAACCAAAAGGAGCACTGAGGGGTAGTGGTTAGGGGTTCAAGGCCTGAAATTAAATTAGGTGACCTGACTTCACTCCCAGCTCCTCTACTCACTGTCATGGACCTAGGCAAGTGATTTCCCTGTGCATGTGCCTTTTTGTATTTCTTCATCTTTAAAAATGGCAATACAGGGCCATGGTGACACACACTGAGTACCAAGTAAGGTAATGCTAGACATTACATAACTATATAACAACTGTTTTCTTCACCACCACTTTTACATTGATTCCCAGTCCCATACACATCATACCACAAACACATGAAAGTGTTTAAATTAATTCTGTGAGACACATTTATCTCATTGTCAATGGGGCAACTGAGGCTCAGAGAAGACCAAAGCCGTGTTAAGGAGACACCAGCAAATTAAACTACAGATCAGAATCCCAGCAAAGACATCCTGACTTCTGGAGATAGAACAATCTTTCAGGTTCCAATAAAGATCAGCCACGCAATTTGGCCATTCCAGATGGGCTTGATCCAACCACCCCAAAACTAAAGGAGCAAAACCCCACCAAAAAAGCAAACTAAAACAAACACAAACTAACAGGAGCTACCACGGAGTAAATTCCCTCCATATATGGGGCTCTGCCCATGGTTACTTCTTCCACTCACCCAGCCTTCCTGCAAGAGAGGAGTTGTTTCCTGTGCAAGTACTGAGCCTTCCAATCACTTGAGAAAATGTTCGAGAACCACATAAGCAAGCCTTCACACTGCGGCTCCGACCAAAGTCTGTCTGTACCATGCTCTTTGTGACATGTTCCACATAGCTTTCCCACCCCCAAAGAAGTCACTTAAAATTCCTCTTTTCAAAGTCACTGACTTCTCAACAACTTCAAGGCATTCTGTCAACAACAGTTGGATTGAAAGTATGTTGTTGGGTTCGAATAACAATCTGGTTTGAAAAAAAAATCAAATATGTCCAGATTCCATTTTGAAGGCTATTTTGTTTTGAATTTAGATTTTTAACACACATGAGTGTTTAAAAAAAACTTTGTATGTCACAGAACATTTCCAAATTACAGCTTTGATAGTCATGGAAAAGTATGTACCCCCGCCCCCAATCCTATTTCTATAAAACCATGGCATATATACATTTGTGTAGAGATATGGAAAATTGTATTTGAAACTGTTAAGCAGAGTGGAATCAGAAGCGTTGTTGATTTCATTTGTTTACTTGGTAAAGAAAGCTCAAGTAGTACAACGGGAATACATTGAAGGAGAAATTTCTCTCTTACCCTTGTTCCCCAGTTCCGGCCCCAAAGAGAAAACCACTGTCACATGAATGTGTGTTCCTCCCCAGATATTCTCTGCATACACAGTCCTGTGTGTGTGTGCATGCATATTTATATGTAATTGCATCTATTTATATAATGTTCTCTTTATATATTGGTTTTTCTCTTTTTGAGTGATTATCCATTACTCTTCAATGGAATTTTGAAAATATTCCAAATGCTTTGAGACATGTACATTATGTCTATGCCACATATTCTGGCTGACTCAGCAACATTTTCATGATGATTTGGAATTTGTAAGTCATTTAACATGTAATGCTTTAAGGCCACAAAGTGAATTTGGATATTACTTGTTTATTTATTTATTTGCTTATTATTTATTAAGTTTTCTTTTTTTGTATTTGGACTATCTCAGCTTATGTGCCTACTGGATTCAACCAATGAAGCTAGTATGAAGCATAATGGATTTTTGGTATTGTTTCATTTTACTTTTTTGCAATTAGGAAATGTGCAGAAAGGAAAAAATGGACTGGCTGAAAAATGGATTTGAGTTGAAAAGCCAGGAGGGATATCTGAAGAATTCTGAAAAATAACAGAAGTGCTTAGGGAGAGATGGATTAGAAAATTTGTCCATCAGAAATCAGTACATGGTAGTCAGCGTAGTGGTGCAACAGCTTTAGCTGTGTCTGTGATACTGGATTGATTATGGGTGCCAGTTCATTTCCTAACTGCTCTACTTGTGATCCAACTTCCTGCTAACGCCTGGGAAACCAGCAGAAGAGGCCCAAGTGTGTAGGTCCCTGCTCTCAAGTGGGAGATGCAGATGGAGTTCTGGCCTGGCCCAACCAGTCCCAACTGTTGCAGCCATTTGGGAAGTGAACAAACAGATGAAAGATCTCTCTCTCTTTCATCTCTCTCTGTGTCCCTAACTCTACCTTTCAAATAAATAAATCTTTAAGAAACACTACCCCACCAGTAGATGATGAGATAATGATGATAACAGAGATTAATTTCCTATCAAATAAAAATTTAAAAGTCTGCTCATCAAAAGATCCCTGCCTTGTTTTTTTTTTTTTCCCCCTGTGGCAATTGCCCACATCTCAGTAGTCTATAGAAAGAGCTTGCTACTGTCCCACTTCCAAACAACTTTTCTTCCCTAGGGTGACAGCGGGGGACCTCTGATTTGCCACAAAAAGAACAACAATAGCATATGGTACCAGTTGGGCATCATCAGCTGGGGAGTGCAATGTGGAAATAAGGACTTCCCTGGAGTGTACACGAAGGTGTCAAATTATCTCTCATGGATTGTGAAGGAGACAAAGAAGGCCGGGAAGCCTTATCTGCACCAGCCAGACTCCGGGTACAGTTTGTTTCTCTCACCCTGGGCCACCTTGTTCCTATATTTTGTGATACTTCTACTGTCCTTCTGATTAAACACTGTGTCATCTCAAAAACCGTGTACCTGTCTACGTTTTGTGGAACCTGGACAAGGATGTGTGTGAGTGGGAAGGAGTGATTCCTAGGCCATCACCTGTGGTTGGACTAATCATGTGCCTATAGGAACTTAAACTATACAAGTATAGTTCAGCAAGTTCATATAAAATTGGATTAAGAGACAAGTTTACTTTGGTGCAGAAAAAGAAATTTGCACCAGGCACACTTTATCACAATATGTATTTTCCATGAACTGTTTGAAGTCCAATGTGTGAATGGGGTGTGCCTCTCTATAGGAAGAGCTGCAGAAGCCTCCACCATCCTTCTTTCATAAACAGGTATCCTCCCATGGCTTCTCTTATCGTCCAGAGAGGCATGAACCAGGAAACTCCAATCTCTCCCTCCCTTTGTATCCCACTGCAGAGACCTACACAACTGGTTTCCAATCATTCCCCTATACTTCATGCCTTAGCTAGCATGTGATCTCTTGACTCCCTTAGCTAGCATGTGATCTCGAGCCCTGGCGAGGTTTACTTTTGCTCTCAGAAACCATGCACAATAATGCTAGTACTGAGCATTGTGAAATCCTTGAAGCAGAGATAGAGCTGAGGTGGGAAAGAAACACACAGCTCGTGGATTACAGTAGTCAAGGCACCTTTGAAAAACTCAGTCTGAAGCCCAAAAGGGGCACGAACTAGAGCAGTCAGAGTGCCAACCTTGGTGAGTTAGTTAGTGCAGTAAAGAACTGTGGAAGAGTTAGAGGGAGGTGAAGGATATATTTTAGGCTATCAGGAAAAGTGGATAACCTGTCCCTCCTTCATGCAATTAGCTATGGTCATCATTTTTTCCAACTAGGCAAGGAACATTTGACACATTTTGGAAGAAGGAGAGAGGTTATTTTTAAAAGATGTGTTTTTATGTAGCCTTGCCATAAGCAAAATTCCTTGAGCTACAAGCCAAAATAAAAGGAAAGTCATTGACGTTTACGTGATGCATTCTGAGAAGGAGGGAAAGGGAAGGGAAAGGTGTTCCTCTGCTGGTGTATATGGGCTTTGTGTGAACAGGACAGGTGTCTACTGTCTGAGTCCAGGGGGCTGGAGGGCTTGGAGGTGGGGAGAACAAGAAGAAGCAGTAGAGAGTTGACTTTTGCAAATCTTTAGAGTTACTGCAAGAGTTTTGACTGTTGTAAAGCACTGCAGGCAGATAGGTAGTGTCTCTACGAAAAGGAAGTTCAAAGAATATTTCCTCCTCTCCATCTATGTAGAGACAGAAATAGTTTCTTGAGCTTCAAGTTCAGAAGTAGAAGCCATGGTCATGCCCACCAGGCTCAGGGCAGTGCTGAAGGAGAGGCTGAAATAATCAGGCCAAGATCTAGTGAGAGGAAGAGTGTCTGATAGTGTATGTATATGTATGCAAGTGTATGTGTACGCCCACGCACCCCTGCCCATTGCTGCTCTGCCTCCATCACAAAGTACATTATCAAGCTGTCAGATTTTTGTCAATCTTGTAAGAAACGAGACTTGATTTTTTCATAGTGAAATAAATTTGTAGAAGGAAATATATATTCATATATATACACATATACATATATATATACACAATATATATATTGTGAAGGAAATAAATATTGTGTTGCCTTCCACCACTTATGTGGAAAAGCCAGCTGGAGTTCTGGAATCCTGGCTTAGGTCTGATCAATCCCTTGCTGTTGCAGGTATTTGGGGAATGAACCAGAAGATAAAAGATGGATCTGTCTGACTCTGTTTGTTTGTCTTTCAAAAAAGAAATGAAAACAAAAAATAAATTTGGAGAAGGCAACACAATAGAAATGTCAGGAACTCTCATTCAAGTCCTAAATCCTACTTAGTCTCTGAGATCAGAAGAGGGTGGTATTGTTGCAAATTACATAACAGATACAGGAGTCAGATCCAGATTTACAAAGGATTCCAGAGACTTAACAGCAGCAAAACAAACAACCCAGTTAAAAAATGGGCACTGCACATAAACAGATTCAAATGATGAAATTAAAAGGGCTATAGACACACAAAAGAAGCTCAGGTTCTCTAGCAATCAGGGAAATACAAATAAAAACCACAATGAGGCTCCACCTAACTCCAATGAGAATGCCCTACATACAGAAATCAACAAGCAGTAATTGCTGGTGAGGATGTGGGGATAAAGGTAGCCTGATCTACTGTTGGTGGGAATGTAAACTAGTGCAATCACTATGGACTTCAGGATGGAGATTTCTCACACAACTGAAAACAGCTCTACCATACGTGCCAGCCATCCCACTCCTGGGATTAGATCCAAATAAAAGAGAGCTACCTGCAACCCCATGTTTATAGCAGCACAATGGATAATAGCTAAGATATGGAACCAACCCAGATGCTCATCAACAGATGAATAGATAAAGAAAACATGGTACATTTACTCCATGCAATACTACTCAGCCATAAAGAACAAATTTTATTATTTGAAACAAAATGGGCCAAGCTGGAAATCATTATGCTTAGTGAAATAAGCTTAACCCAAGAAGACAAATGTCATATGTTTTCTCTGATAGGCAACAACTAATACACTGAACACACACACACACACACACACACACACACACACACACACAAACTCTACAAGGAAGATTAGCATACTGGAACATAATGGTTGCATACAGTGTGCTCCTTTACTCCCAAATAATAGTAGAATTCCCATTATTATTTTTAGTTAAGCTCTTACATTACATTTTTTTCATTTTCCTACATTTGTCATGTTACGATACCTTTATTTTTTTTAAAGATTTATTTTTATTATTTTTTTCATTGGAAAGGCAGATCTACAGAGAGGAGAGACAGAGAGGAAGACAAAGCTTTGGGCCGTCCTTGACTGCTTTCCTGGGCCACAGGCAGGGAGCTGGAAGGGAAGCGGGGCTGCCAGGATTAGAACCGGCGCCCATATGGGATCCCAGGCGTGCAAGGCAAGAACCTTAACCGCTTGCGCCACCGCGCCGGGCCCAACGATACCTTTATATATCAGAAGGTTAAGCTTGCAATGGTGAACTAAATTACTGTGTCATTGCAATAAATTTGGGATAAATAATAGGAGGAGGATACAAGGAGGGAAGAGAGGGAGAGATGATCTATGTATATAAATCTGTATCATGGGAAAATAGATTCTTTTAAAAAAGCTTTATTTTATTGGAAAGGCACATTTTACAGGGAGAAGGAGAGAGAGAAACTGAGAGACAAAGAGAGAGAGAGAAACAGACAGAAAGATCTTCTCTACACTGGTTCACTCCTCAAGTGGTTGCAATGGCAGAAGTGAACCAATCTGAAGCCAGCAGCCAAGAGCTTCTTCCAAGTCTCCCACACGGTGTAGGGTCCCAAGGCTTTGGGTCATCCTCTACTGCTTTCCCAGGCCACAAGCAGGGAGCTGGTTGGGAAGTAAAGCATCTGGGACACAAACTGGCACCCATATGGGATGCCAGCCATTTTTTTTGCCAGTGCTGCAAGGTTGAGGATTAGCTAGTTGAGCCATTGAGCCAGTCCCCCTTCCCTCTCACCCACCCCAAATAAATCATCGTAACAATATCTCAGGGGCAATACTTGCCTATTTAAACTGACAATACTTAGTTTTTCAAAGAAGTATGGGAGGTAACACGATTATGAGGCATCTTTCTTTCTCCTAATTAAAAAAAAAAAAACTTTGCTTTCTTAAAAAAATCAAGGCTATCACAAATAATAAACCAGAGAAGGTTATTCTGGTAAAATACACAGAAAGTGTGTTCTTCAGGCAAATGACACAGAAGGTAAAAAATAAAATTTTACCACCCTGCATGAATTTCCCATTCCTGCTCTGATAAGTCCCTCATGTTTGTGGACTTCAGTCCTCTGGCTGCAGCAGCTCGAAGTTTTGGAGGTCAGAAGCCCAAAGCCAGTCTCACTGGGCTAACGTGAAGGGTCCGTGAAGTTGGTCCTCTCTTGAGGTTCAGGCCTTTCTTGGCCTCTAGATGCCCTTCTCGTCCTTGGCTCATGCCCCCTTCCTCGGCCTTACAACTACCCGCAAAAGGGTCTTGCAGTCTCCTTTCCCTAACGCCATTCTCATGTCACCATTGTCTAACTTTGACTCCTCAGACTGCTTCTCCCGAGCAGGCTCTGACTGTATTGAGCCTACCTAACACCCCAGGAGAATCTCCCCCACACCAATGGCCTGCCTTTGATCACACGTAAGAAATCATTTTTGACACACAGGGTAAGGATATGCCCCAGTCCCAGGGGGTATGTGGACATCTTGCAGTGGGGAGTGCAGGATGATGAGTGGAATATTTCAATATATCACAGGCTTCTTTTTAACAGCAGATCAATAATTCTCTTAACTTGGAGAAAATTAAATTCTAGTTTTGCATAAGCAGATTTGAGACCAACTGTTTCAAAAAAAATCTTATAGGTTAAGACCCCAGTCTCCCACGGTGTAGTCCTTGCTTCATTCCCAGTTCAAGCTCCTGACTCCAGATTCCTCTTGAAGCAGGCCTTGGGGGCAGCACGTGGTGACTCAAGTAATTGCTTTCCTTACACCCACTGGGGGAAACTTAGATTGCATTTCTAGCTCCTGGCTCCAGCACCTGCTTTTTAGGTGTTTGGGGAGAAGACAGCAACAGGGCATTCTCTGTCTCTCCAGTTAAAAATTTTATGAAGAAATCCATCATAACATTAAAAGATTTTGTTTGAAGCTCATCTCCGTAAGTTAAGAACCACTTGAAAATCTCCAACCCATGATTAGACTTCGTAACAAGCTAGGAATAGAAGGAAAGTTCCTTAGCACTTAGAAGGTATCTATGAAAAGCTGTGGCTTGCATCATCCTAACTAGTGAATGCTTTCTGTTTTGAGAAAACGGTAAAGAATGCTGTCATCAGTTCCATACCATGATAAGCTGGAGTATTAGGCACTTCAATAGGGACATGGAGAGGGTTGGGGCAGGAGTAGGCAGAAGAGAAGGAAAGTGGAGGCTTAAAATTGG